GGAACTGTCAGTCCCGTTGTTTTCTCCTCCAGATTGTTCGTCCAGCCTGTCCTATCCAGACAGGCCTGCCCCCCCCCCATCTTCTTATGATGCACCCTATATCCCTCAATAGTTTCCCATAGAATATTTCAGTACTGTAAGGCGAGGTTTGATTTTGATTTCTTTTTCCTTCAGTTCTTGCAGCTGAGCGTGTTCTTCAATTTTGGTTTTCTAACTCTAGGTCTTTGTACATTTCATTATAATATTTGACTGTCTTTTTGAAAGCTGCCTGTGTTAGTCTGGGTAGACTAGAGAAACAAATTAATAGACATATGTGTATAAGAAAGAGCTTTATATATAAAAGCAGTTGAATATTGAGAAAACATCCCAGCCCAGCCCAGATCAAGTCCGTAAATTGAATCTTAGCCCACATGTCCAATACCAATCTATAAATTCCTCTTCAGACTCACGCAACACATGCAATGATGCCGAATGCAGGAAGATCACAGCCCAGTGGGTGGAAAGACTTGTGGATCCAGTGGTGGTAGAGGAATCTCAGAACTAGCAGGGGTCTCCAAGTGGTTCCTTCAGCCCCGAGGCTCTGACTTCCATCAGCCTGTCTCAATGTCGCTTGTCAACAAGAATGTCTCTCTGGTAGTGACCATGTGTCCCACCTCCTATTTATCTCCTTAGCACCTCCAAATGAGGTCAAGCTGTGACCCGATTGACAGGCCAAACTCCACCCCTTCACTCTTAATCCTCTCAAATTGACAGCAGATTATATAACTACCACACTTGTGGCGGAAGGTCCAGGCACCCACAACTAATTGCGGGTTTAATAGGTGCAATTATATGGTTAAAATATATATAAAGATTATAATAAAGTCATAGAGAATAAGGAGAGATAGAAGAGAGGTTGAAATAATGGAGCCAGACACATTTCACAGTAGCATGCTCGCCTCTGGATTGGCATGATCTCAACAGCCAGGTCCGTGCATAGTGCAGGGCTGAGAGGGCAAGAGAGAGGAGGGGAAGGACAAAGGGAGAGGGGCCATGGGCCAGGGGAGTGAGAGAGAAGTGGGGGGGGGGGATCAGGAGCCAGGGGAGAGAACATGAGGAAAGAGGGGAGAGGGGAAAGGAATGGGGGAGAGAGAGGAGAGCTTTTTTATTGTTAACCAAGGCTTATATACCTTTAGGGGCATGCAAGCCCACTAATTACAGGTAAAGACATATGTCACAGGAAGGGGTTGCACTATAGGTAATACAGTAATGAGAGGGGGACGATCTAGGGGTACATACACACTAGGAAGGTGAGGGATTGGGGGCACACATGTGACAAGATGGGCAGTTCCTAGATTCAGGATGGCAGCCTAACTTTGGATGTCAGTGAGCAGGTTTGACCTGTTCTCTGGCTCTCCATGGAAACCATTATCAGTAGGGTGTGAACCCCACTCACTGAGGACCAGACTGATGGCTGCAAGCCTTCAGACAGAAGTAATCTATTTGTCCTTAACGGCAGGGAGTGGACTCCACCTGTGGTGGGACCAGAAAGTAGTCTGAAGGCTGAATGCATCTGACCTCCCACCATGTGCTGGCAAATAGCCTCTAATGTTTGGCATATCTTTGGGGGAGACAAAGCTGGGGGGAAAGTCTCTTTATAATCCCCCCACACTACCCTTTGAAATTCTGTTCAGCTTGTTGACCTCATCATTTCTTCCACGTGCCTTAGCGAGTTTCAGTGTCTCTCCTGATGTCCGCTTTGCTAATTTCTTTCTTCCCTGGCTTTTTAATGATCTTTTACTTTCTTCATGCTTGACTTTCTTTTTTGTTTGTTGGTTTGAAACTAGCTTGTCTGTGATAAAAGAACTTAAGTCAGTTCTAGGTTTACTTTTCCTCCTTTTAGGAACCACTCAGGTCAGTGTTTACGTCTAATGGAGGGTCCTGTCTTCCTATAACTTAGAAGATCTGTGGTCATCCATGTTCAATGTTCTTGAAATTCAGGTGGGATAGACTCAACATACTACTTCGGCTCTCCTGGACTTGTTTTGATTTTCTTCACCTCCAACCTTAACTTGCACACGAGCAATTGATTATCTGTTCCACTGTTTGCTACAGATGAGTAAGTAAGCACAAATATCGCCTTATCTATTGGGTTACCTGACACACTCTTAGACATCTGAGAGTGTCTCTCTCTCTCTCTCTCAGGTGGCTTTCTCTTCTTGGGGGTGTGGTGTGTGTGTGTGTGTGTGTGTGTGTGTTACAGGTGGCTCTCTCTTCTCTGGGGGTGTGGTGTGTGTGTGTGTGTGTGTATGTGTGTGTATGTTACAGGTGGCTTTATCTTCTCTCACCCACCGGGCAAGCACGTGTGTGTGTTACAGGTGGCTTTCTCTTCTCTCGCCCACCGGGCAAGCACGCC